TCCAAATCCTCTTTTCATTTCCAATTTCATCCGTTCTTTGATAAAATCTTTGTTCCAAACAGAAAGGAGTGGGAATTGCCTTGGATTTCTTATTTTAGATCTTTCCAAACGATCAAAATAGCATATCTAATACAAATATACAAAAAAAAATGTGTTAAACAAAGACAAATTTAGAAAAGACAAAATAATATAAAAATGTGCAATATATTAAAAAAAATACCATCAAGAAAGGCAATGGCCCAGTGAAGTAAGCTGAACCACCTTGCCATTCCGATACAGACGACTTTAAACTCCTATACACATATTCACACCAATCCAAACATTCGATCTTCTTTGTATCCATGCAACTATACAAGAACTTGTAATTTACCGATGGGTTGGCAGTGGATCTCATACAACAATTGACAACAGAAACTATAAAATGCCAAATGAATTCATCACAAACAGGTTCCTTCTTTAACTCTTCAATCCGATTAATAATCAAAGAATTTGGTGGACTTCCACCACTTATCCCAAAAAAAGATCTCCATTGTCTAATAAACTCAACCCATTCTTCATCCTCCTCTTGTCAAGGCTCTTTAATAATTTCTCCTCCCATCGGCAATCCATAAACCAAATGTATGTCTACGTGTGTAATTTCAATCTCTTGGTTCCTCTCAAGAACTAAAGACACCCTATCACAGTCAAAACTCAACACAAGCTATTATATGAAAGTCAATGTAGTCATGTAAGATGTTGTTGGGTCTATTTTAATGCATAATTTCCTAATATAAACTTTTTATACTACCTCTGTTAACTTTTATTTGTAGCTTTGGGGTATTATTTGTGAGATATACAATATTCCAAAATTGCAAATAAAAGTTAACGGAGGTAATAACTTATATAATTATTTACTAAAAGAAGTTAAAGGTCGGGTCATTTTCGGGTCGGGTCAACTTCGGGTCTCGGGTCAACTTCGGGTCTCGGGTCAACTTCGGGTCGGGTCGTTTCGGGTCTCGGTACAACTTTGGGTCGGGTCATCTCGGGTCGGGTCGTTTCGGGTTTCGGGTCAAGGTCGGGTCAGTTCCACTTCGGGTCGGGTATAGGTCAGGTCGGGTTAATTCGGGTTTTGAGTCAATTTCGGGTCACTGGTTTCGGGGCGGTTTCGGGTCATGGGTCGGGTCATTCGGGTCGGGTCATCGGGTCTGGGTATTTGATTCGAATCCGTTTTTTGATTCACGAATTAACATGAACTAGGGTTTGTAGAGAGTGAATGGAACTTAGAGAGACATAAACCTAATTTTAGAGAGAAAAAAATCAGTGAAAGTGAAAAAAGAGAAGGGGGTATATTAGCAAACGAAATTACAATTTTTCCATTACTGTAGAATGTTTTAGACGGTTAGATTGAATCTAATCTACGACTAAGATGTATTCTCATATAAGTGAATTTATCGAAAATGCATTATAAACATAAAAAAATAATATAATAAAAAAACAAACATTAAAAATGCAATAAGTCTTGTATGGGCGGGTGTACGTTAATGTTATTGTAAGACAGTCAATTTGAAAAGTAACTCTAATTGCTTTTATGATAACTTAAATATATATAACTTTTACTTTATCGTTGGTTTGACTTTTATTTTAATGTGTAATTTTTTACAAATTTATAATTACAGACTATATTATAAAGGCTAATATGTCTACCTAAAATTGTGTCTCTAAGTATAGCATATACATCTTATATGCAATGTACCAAGGTATTAATAAAATGGTTTCGTACTAATATGCCTCTATCTTCTCTCTCTTCTCTCTAAAACCCTAGCTGCCTCCATTGTTAAATTTTGAAGGGCTTCCATCGGTTTTTACCAGTGCATAGCCCCAATCGTTGTTTTTGTGTGATTTTTCTCTTGTTTTAGGATAATAATAACTCTTCCTCTTTTAGGAGGAACATTTCTCCCTCAAAAGAAATTAGGGTTTTTCTTCTTCTTTAGAAGGATTTGGCTCCTTTGAAACACCGGGATTTTCTTCTCTCTGTTGAGGGAGGATTTTCTTTTTTATTTCTTGGATTGCTATAGAGTTGTTTCATGGGTAAAATTTTGTGCAGGAACGAAAAGGAGGTTAAGATTTCGATTACAATCTAACGAATCAGACGGAAATTTTCTGCACGGCTACAACAGATCGATAGACCCCCTCGCCAAAGAAAATTGTAAATCACAGCGATATGAAAGAGGGTATGAAAAATGTACGATTTGCAATAACGAACATAGCTTTGCTTACGGAATGTTTTTATTTGATTCAATTATGATGTATTTATTAGATCTAAATCTCTTTGTAGATGTCGCATGACTTTTATTTATGAACAATTTTTATGTAAAAAAATATACATCCTATATGCAAATGTATACACAACTACTATTATTGACCTAGACCCATTATCATTTAATGATACTTGGTATTTCCTTCGTTTCACAAATACTTCACCATGTCAACATTTATACTATTCACAAACTCTTTTCGAACATCTATTATGATTTATACGTAAAGAAAAATAAAATTGTGTGACCTTCTCAATGCATACTTTTTATAATTTTTACATAATGAGAACTAAACATATCATGGATCGGACAAAGTTGTACGAGGTGCAATATTTGTGAACAGAGAGGGTACTTATATTCAATCAAGTTTTATTTTAAGTATATCTCCTACTTTTATTATTTGAAATAATCGAAAATGCATTATAAACATAAAATAAATAAATAAAGGAAAATTTGATTCTAATAATCCCACCTTTGACCTGTTCGCCGTTAATAATCTCACCTTTTGATTATTATCTAATAATCTCACCTTTAGGGGGCATTCTCTTCCATTGGTCCCTGACCTGTAAGTAACCGGTATAATGGGTTAACATGCCACATGTCAATTTGTGATTTGCCAAAATATTTTTTTTTTCATTTATTTTTTTTACAAAAATTAAAACTTAAAATTTTCCTCTTCTCTTCTTCCTTATCCTTTTCCCTCCTTCCTCCATATTTTCCGGCTAGGCAGCCCACCACTCCCACTACAACCAACCACCCCCACCCCCAAAACACTAACCCAGCCACACCCATTCCTAAAACAGCCTACCCCAGCCACCCCTACCCCCGAACCGTACCCCAACATATCCCCACCCCAAAACGATTCATTTTAGCCATCCCACACTCCCAAAACTCCCAACCCAAACCTTCCCTAATCCATGAAAAATGCCAGCCCAGTCCTTCTCACCTTGAAACGCCCACCGACCACCACAACAAATGCGCATCTTGGGTCTTCAAATTGGAGCATCAATTGAAGTAGTTGGTGTCAAATTGTGGGATTGGAGGCCATAATTATGCTTTTAGGTGGACGAATTGCTAATTGTAGGTGGTTTAATTTGGAGGTCGATTTGCTATCGATCGGTGGCAGATCGATTAGATCAGAGTGCAAGGACTGCAAGAAGGCTAAATTTCTCTTACACAGGTGTCAGGTGCTGCGTTGTTGGGTGATGATAGCTCGCTAGTGGTGTGACTGCTTAGTAGTGAGCAGGGAACATCGAGGGCAAAGGGGTTGCATAGTAGTTGTTATTGTTGTTGTTGGTGCCTGGTGGTTGGAAATGAAATGGGGCTGGTGGTTAGAGAAAGAAGGCTTGGTGAATGGCCAAAATATTAATAAATAAATAAAACTAAAACAAAAAACAAAAAATTACCCAAAGAACAGATTACCGATCATAAGGGACCATTGGAAGAGAATGCCCCCTAAAGGTGGGATTATTAGATAATAATCAAAAGGTGGGATTATTAACGGCGAACAGGTCAAAGGTGAGATTATTAGAATCAATTTTTCCTAAATAAATCATATAACCAATACATAAAGCTAAACTTTTATCCAGGTCACGAGCCGGCGACACTTGGCGTTCTAACATTTCGCCAAGTGTTGTGCCACATTGGATAGATTTAAATAGGATTTATAAGATAAAAAAAATTTAGAATTTTATTTGGGTAGAATTTTTTTTGACGGGTATTTGGATAGAATTTTAGGATAAAATTGTTAGTTTAGAGTTTTATTTTCGATAAAATACCAACATTTCATATGTACAAATTGAATTATAATTTTTTTCAAAATAATTATTAGATTATAATTCTATAAAATTATCATATAAGTAGACCGGTCAATTAGGGTCGGGTCATGAGTTATCCCGAATTAAAAATTTATCTTAAAATTCAATAAACAATCCGCACATTGGACGAGGCACAAAACTAGTATATAATATAATATAAAAGCAAATATTAAAAATGCAATAAGTCTTGTATAAGGCGGATGCACGTTAATTTTATTGTAAGACAGTCAATTTGAAAAGGCTAATATGATTAGTTTTAATACATTATAAGTTTTTTGTAAGATAATTTTTTTTTTGAAACACGATAAATTTTATTATTAGAAGAATAATAACTTTTTATTGTATACAGGGTAACTTTAAATATTTTTAAGATAATTTTAACCCGTCTTACAATAAATTAACATGTATCCGCCTTTTTAGAGAATTTGTTTTTAAAATGGCACACATGATTCACATTAGGTTTCATTTAGGTCATTGGTGAAATGTAATTTGATTTAGGTGAAATGTAGGTTAAGTCATATTTGGAATGGGTTGTATTGCAATGTGTTGTCAATTAAGTTATTATATCAAACAATTCTTGTCACGCGAAGTTTCAATCCGATCAAAAATCAGAATTTTAGGTTTGGTTAAATTTATTTAAGGCCTGATCTGATTTACTCAATTGTGTTGAACTAAACTGATTGGAGCTAAACTGGATTGAACAAAATAGAGCTAAAATGAATATTTAATGAGAGAAGAAAATTAGGAATTGAACTGAACTGATTAGAGCTATAATGAACTGAATTAAAATGAAGAGAACAAGTCCTTATTAGTTGTCTATGAGCACTTTGGTTTTCCATATACTTTTATAGATGGTGGACATTTATTAAAGGTACGGAAAAACAAAACGAATATAAGGAGATCCTCTTCACTGAAGAAAACCTACTTTATTAGCAACAGTTATCACACATGATAAACTGTACAAATTGAGGGGAATGATAGTCACGCATCCATCTTCATTAAGATTTATGTACATTTAACTTTTATTCTGCACTAAAGTCTAAATTGAGGCATAACAATGAGTAAAGATCAAAAGAATAGGATTTGAGAAAAAAATTTACTTTCTTTTAATTCCAGAACTGAAGCCTTGCTATTTTCTTCAGTTCATCAGTCTTTGTTTACCAGCGACCCAGCTTTTCAACCAGGCGGTTCTCTATCTCCATCCTCTTCTTCATCACAATCGCATACTTCGATACCAAAGTGGAATCTCCAGCCTCGACAGAGAGCTTGGAGTTTAATGATGTCTTTTCCAACTTGTCTTTGTACATGGATTCAAATGGAACAAAACCACCTTTTGCATTGCACAGCCAACCATGCGCAGCCCTGAGTGCAGCGCCTAATGATGCTGAATCTGTTTACGAATAATGATCACAAACAAGAATGTTATAATTAGCAGTCAGAAGACTATGTATTGCATTTTCAGATCAATTGCAAATGAAGTTATAAAGTGTAAGCACATAATAAAACAAACCAAGTCGGATGATAACCAAAAAAAAAAAAAAAAAAAAATGCTCATTTCTAACCCCTTGGCTCTGTGCTCAACCATCAAAGTTAAAAATCTAGCCTACAACCATCATGCAAATATCAACGCCTGCTGGTATTCTAAAATAATCAAGCTATTAAATTTCCTTCAGGCAAAACAACTCCCAAACTTTGAAAAGGTTCCAAGCTGTTTGCACCCCAACTGCAGCAAGGAAATAGGGTCACCTTATCCTTTAAGTCACAAAACAAGCAAGAAAACTCAAGAAAAACCAAAAGAGACTGACCACAGGAACGGTTTAATGTAAACTTGAAGGAATATATCGCACTTAAGGAGCCTTGACCACCAAATGACTAGGTACTTTTACTGTAGTAACATTATAGTAAATTAAGGACTTGCCTGGCCTTTCAACAGTGTAAATACCACAGCCAAATATAGAAGCTAAGGAGCCAAGAATGCAATCATTGGCTGATGCCCCACCAGTAGCTATCAACCGTCTAGGAGGGAAAGGCATGCCAAATCTTTCAACATGAGCTCGCATAGAGAGAAACTGGCCCTCAACCAGAGCTCGAACCTGAAAAATAATCAGAGGAATGATGAACTTGTGACAAAACTCCAAAAGTATGAAGGTCAATAACTGAAAACAATACTAACCTCAGAAGGGGCATCAAACTCATTTACTTCATGTTCAACCATATCATCAACAGTATCGCCAGTGAAATTTTTGAGGATATACCGGTGGTAACCAACTGAAACAAATTTCATAGTCAAATTAAAACATCAAGCACCAACTAGACTTTGGCTCATTTTTCATCAAATCTGTCTCAAAAGTGAATCTATCTAGCTACAAAATCTATCCAATACCAAAAGATAATTTCACCCTCAATATTAAACTCATTTTACTGCAATGTAATCGTACAAAATATGATCTATGCAGAAATGCTGAAAAACTCACCTGGTAAGGGAGGAAGAATTTCATGCTCCTTGTAGTAGAAACCTAGCTTTCCATCTGCAGAACACCAATTTTGTAAATGACATAATTGTATAACTTTTATCAACAAATCAACTTAGGAAAAAGATCACCAACCATTGAGTGGAGGTGTTTGCTGCATAAATCTGTTGAAAACATCCCACGACTTCTCTGCGTACTGATTACGGATATCTGGCACCAATTATGATAGTTATTACATGCTACCACATGCCCCAGAATTATATATGGAGTACTAGAACAGAGAGAATTTTACCTTCACGAGTAAGTGATCCATTCTTGTAGCAGAGCATTACCATAAAACCTTTTGTATCCACAGGATTTGGGAAAACATGACCTTCTAAACGAGGTTGTGGCTCATCGGTTATCCCAAATACCTAATAAAAGCAGATCCATTAAATGACAATAACAGTAGATTCATCTATTATTTTTGGTTCTTTTTATATATACAATTCCCTTTTTTTTTTTTTTTTTTCCTTGTTTTTGGTCTGCATGGTACAAATACTAATATATTTCCCTAATCAACTTACAGTGTCACTTGTCCCAAGACTGATCGCAAGATCACCAGGAGTGTTGAGCGTCAATCCTATAAATCGAAAAAGAGTGATATTAGAAAGCAGGGTACAAAATTAATGATTATCTACTTCAGCCAAAACTCTACAAGCAATATTCACTTGAGGAATGTGAGTACATACTTTAACATAAAAATTTGTACATATAGTTCAAAAATATAATACACACACCAAACTAATGGACAATACAAAAGGTATTCCAGGTTTTGCATACTTGTAATTTATGAATACAATTAGAGTTGTTAAATCAAGTATTCCTGAGTCAAGTCATGTTAATTTAGTAATGTCATGTCAACTAGCTCATTAGTCATCTCGGGTAAACCAAGGTCGGGTCAGATTTAGCCCCATTAAACCGATCACTCTCCTTTCCCATTCTCTCAACAAATTGCTTCCATCATGAGCATCATCTATACATTTAATCTCTCATAGCCAAAACCCCAAATCTGTTGGTAATCCTGGGTCTCCAGCCTCTCCACATTGGCTCCGTTTGGTGAATAGCAGCTTCACGAAGGTATAGCAAATTGACACAGCATTAAGGAATACCCCAAGACATGAATTGTGAAAACACTGCTCTTTTAGAACCGGTTTGGATTCACGAGAAAACTGATATATACATAGCCATCAATCAGAATGATGCTTTTCATGGCCAAGTATTATGTCCTCTATATTAATTCTTCATGATGATAACTCATAATTTTTATTGAAAAGCTCCTTGGCACTAGTTAAGGGTATTGCCAAAACCCACCAATTATATGTTCGTACATCAAAACAAAGCAGCAGAAGCCAGCAAGGTTAAAGAAACTATCATTTGAATTGACAATCAACTATATAATTGCAAGGCAAAGACAAAAAAAGTGAAAACCCTTAATAGTTATAAATCTTATAATACCAAGAAAAGCAGAAAGAGAGGTAGTTTACTTGCATTTCTTACTGCAGCATTCGTCAGACTGTATGCCAAAGCAAGTAAAATTTAATGCGTAGTATTTAGATCAAGTTCAGGTACACAATTTTCCCTCCAAACAAAAAACAGAGGTCAAGTATTACTAGATGTGGAGCAACTACAACTGTGATCCAGCTCTCCTTGCCAAAAACTTCATGTATGCAGAAAAAACTTAACAGAGAACACAAGAACAAAAACAGAAGATATGAAGAGCCCAAGGATGGGGAGAAGAATATGGTGGAGGTACCAAGGTAGTAGTAAAATTAGGTACTCAAACAAGGATAAGAGACAATGAAGGAGAGCTTGGGGCTAAAAGTATCAGCCTGCATGGCTATTGCATGGGTTTCTGAAATTAATTTAAGCTTTTTCTTCCATTCTTTAGGTATTTGTTAGCTATATGGAGGTCAGAATATACATGCCATGGTTAATGAACCACGAAATGTTGCGATTGTTATTTTTGTTCTATAGTAATTATTTCTGTTCTATTGTAGTTTTAGCACCACAATTAGTCAAGTGGGGATATAGTAACATTGGATGGTAAGGAGGTGCCCATGAGCGAGTGTTCTTGGGTTGATTTTGGAAAAGAGTGGAGAAATTGACTGATGTGTAACCCACAAAATTGAGTAAGGTGATACAAATGGAGAGCAACAACTGGTTTGTGATTGTAGAATACCTTTGAATTTAAAGGAAAATTCTATCGAATGACTATCCCTAGTACTGGATCATATTAGAAGATGGTAGTATCAGAGATGCATAGGTTGAGGGACACCTTAAAGTGTAGAATTAGAAATGAAGATATTAAAAAGAAAGTTGGAGTTGAGGATATAATCAGGGCGAATTGATTGCGCTGGTTTGGACAAGAGAGTCAAAGATCTAACAGCAACTTTTGGTCATACCGTGTGGCAGGGTTACTTGTAACTGTTGGGTTACTTATTCAGGAGTTACTTGTATGAGTTACTTATTGGTCACTTGTAGGAATTACTTACTCAGGGGTTAATAGAGGTTATTTATTCAGGTGTTACTTGTATGAGTTACTTATTCAAGGGTTACTTGTAAGGGTTAATTACTTATTTAGGGTTACCTGTAAGAGTAAATAACCTAAATAAGTAACCCTTGAATAAGTAACCCCTGAATAAGTAGCCCCTATAATTTTCCCGTGACCAAACGAGTTGTAAGTTATATAACCTGACGAAACAAGTAACCCCTGAATTCCTGACCAAACAAGTAACCCCTGATTAGATAAACCCAGAATAAGTAAACCCTACCCGTTTAAAAAAAAAAAAAAAAAAGTAACCCCTACAAGAAACTCCGGACCAAACGAGTAACCCCATACAAGTAACCCAGGCCACGGCCAGCCACATAAAAAATTGTAGTGATCAACCCACACAACAGTAAGGAAAGTAGAGAATTGGGATCAAGAATCTCTAAACAGGTAAAGGAAGACCATGGGTGATTTGGATGGAAGGAGCTAAGGACGTGAAAAAGTTAGGTTTCTAGGACCATACAACATTGGAAACAAGGGAATGTAAGGAGAGGATTATGGTTGGCAACATATGTAATAAATTCATGGTTCATGTAGACAACCCCATCTTTGCGATTAAAACTTTGATTATTGTTTGTAATATTTATTCAAGGCTTTGTTTTCTTCACCTATAATAATGTGTTTAGGTTTAAATTTTCAAAAGTCGGGTATGGTGTAATCTTATTGTTTGACCTTAGTTGTACATTAATGTTATAAGAAAGAGCATTATCAAATGGGATCGTGTTAGTCTTAAATGAGTATTTTTTGGGTAACTAACAAGTGAAATAAGGTGAACAAAACAGGGGCTAAGTAGATTATGGAAAAAGAATCCCTAAAGTTGAATCACGGACACGGGCATTCATGAAACAGTTTCCAAATGCCTTTAATGTAACTGTTACATTAAAATGATTTTTACATTGAAGGCACATATATCATTTTTATTTACATTATAAACTTCATAACAAAAATTTATCTTCCGTTCATTCCTCTAAGAATTACTCCTCGCTAATATGCAGTGGATGAAATTCAGATATGCAATATAAAGTAAATTATGACTCGAGGATTTCATACCCATTTAAAATAGTCAATGTCTGACAAAGGTATTTAAGATGAAACTCTGTAACAAAGCATTATTTGCTTTATTGGTTATTTTGGTACCTACTAAGATCACTCAAACATGATCCTAGCCCCAATCTCTCACAGAACTCATTTACTAAAATACTAGCACATGCCCTAATTCTAAAATCTGCCATCCATCAATTGTGCTGAGAAGAGCCATCTCCTTAGTAGTTGTGTAATACCTCAACCCAGTAACCCACCCCACTCAATTCCGCCCCCCCCCCCCCCCTCTCCAGCCATCTCCTTAGTAGTTGTGTAATACCTCAACCCAGTAACCCACCCCACTCAATTCCGTCCCCCCCCCCTCTCCAGTCCTCCACCACAAAAAAATAAATAAATAAATATAAATAAATAAAAAAATAAAAAACCCACAGTAGGCTTAACTTCATGGATTGATTGTAAAAGCATTATATTTTGCCCTGCCTTCAATGCAATAGCTTCAGAGTAAGCTGTTAATCTAATGCTACGAAAAAATGGAAGAAAATTTGACAAAAGTAGGTAAAATATTTTAAATGCTTGAAAAGGGAATCATGGCCAAGAGAAACAAATAGTAGAAACAAAAAATCAGATCAAATCAAGAGGATATATACATGTGAATTTTGGATGAAGAATACCTGCAAGGCTGTTTGGATTATCTCCAGACCACTGAATAACCAAGCAATTGTTGCTGAACTTATACCTGAAATATAAAAAAACAATAAAAATACACAAAACAGCTATCACCACAAGCACAAGCAATCACATAGGTGCATGCAAGACCCCTAACAAGGGCAGCAAAGAAACAAATGTAAAAAAATTTGCTTATGTACTAGGTCATCTAATAATTAAAACACATGGTGAATTTAAAACTATAATATCTAAAATCTACCTCCAAACCCATAGAAAACATGAGAGTCCTTATTCTTCCTTAAAGTATGACTGACAAGTATGGCAGATCATGGACCATGACCCCTCTGCTATGAAAAATAATTAATAGATTAACAGCCACAGAATTCAAACAATTAGATTTTTTTATTCCCACTATCTTTCATATCTGGTTTAATTTGGCGAGAAAGTCATACACACTAACGTCAGGGGGGGGGGGGGGGGAAACAGGTACCAGCAACTGTTTTATATCACATCAAACTCTATCATAGATAAAGTATGACAAAAGGGAACAAGTATATATCAAGAGAAGTATACTAACCTCTCCACAAAATATGAAGCAATAAAACCAGCAACAGCGTATGCAGGAGCAGGTTTTCCAAGCTTTTCCTCCAATGAAGGTGCAGTAGCCTATACCAAGATTGAATTACATAAAGATTGAATCATACAGACATCAACAAAATAAAGTAACAAACATGACACTTGAACAGAACGTGTCCAATTATCAAATTAAAATGTTTAAGCTAATGTAACAGATTACATACATCTAAAGCCTTTTTAGACCATGTTCTTTGCTTGATATCCAATAAATTCATTCCAGCACCATCTGTTTCATCAATGCTAGCATAGCCTCCTATAAGAAGCGAGGCCATAAACGAGCTCACAAGTGATATCCTTTCAGTTTGATTGTAGACTTCGGGTTGTGTCTCATATATCCTCCGAATCTGAGGGCCAGTAAATCTTTCATAGGCACGAGACCCTGTGAGAGATGATAATTCCTGTGCCCCACCTACAGCCTCCTCAATCTTCCTGCATTGTTCAGTGGTACTACTATCCATCCATATCGGCGATTCCTTAATGGAGAAAACTTCTGCAAATTGTTCTACCAACTGTTTCTTAGGATCCAAAGACGACAATATCGACAAACTCCCATTCTTCCAATACACACTACCATGCTGCTGCCCACTTCCAGACACAGCAGCAACCTTTCCAAAATCAATCTTTTTAAACAATTTGTCAAGCATTATATCAAGAGCTTCAACCCACAATAATGTAGGCGAAACAATCCGGCCATATACGGAAGGATCACGGTAAACTCCATCCTTAGTTTTATAATGAGGCAATTCAGAATCAAAATGAACAAGCTCAGCCGCAACAGTATTAAAGTTGGAATCCAATACTGTAGCTTTTAAAGACCTAAAAACAACCAAAATTCAACACAATTCAACCCATATTCTGTAATTACAGTATCAAAACTAATAAAATCATCAAACTAATATAGCCCATCAAAATTTGATAACTAAAATTCCCAAATTTTTAATCAATTTGATTCAAAATTTTAAATAGGGTAAGGCCGATAACATGATAGATCAAACACAAATTTCTTAAAATAAAATTACAACTGAATAGTAAAAATTGCTCAATTAAACCTAAACAAACACAAAATTTTATAAAAAAACAAATGAACAGATAAAGTTGCGAAATGAGTACTGTAAATTGGGTGAGAAGAAAGCATATACAAAGAGGAAAACTCACTGAGTAGAACTGTCAAACCCCAGAAAGAAAGAGTCTTGAGGAAGAGAAAAGTCCGCCATTGAAGAACCAATTGATCTCGTTGAAGCTCTATTTAATGGAAAAATCAATTTGAATGGGAGAATAATATTTCTATGTTTAATTTCTATAAATATGATTTCAATTAAGAGGATAAGAACAAGTACGATCAACAAATTCGTAAACTGATTTGGATAAAATCCATATACTACGTAGTTAGGATATGCATTGGTACTTGATCACGATTCACGAATATAATTTGGATAAAGTTTGTACATAATCAAAATCAAATCTAATCATCTCACTCCAATTTTGCTTTTTTTTTTTTTATTTATTTAATCCTCTCACGGTTGTACGTATAAATCTAATAGACTAATACAGTAAGAATACTAATTAATCCAATCAACGGAGTAATTTATTTCAAAAAAAAAATATATCCATAAAAAATAGGAAATTTTGTGAAACTACCATTTAAATGATGAGTTTTGAAAATAACTACTATTTAATTTATTTATTTTTTTGAAACAATTACCACAAAACAAAAAAAAAAAAAAAAAAAAAAAAAAAAAAATTGAGTAGCCCTACCTTGACAACTATTCCGGGGAGAATCTCCGTCATTAGGCCCCACGAATTACACTTTTCCTTCTAAAATCCCACCTGAATTGACACATGTACTTTAGATTAGATAATAAAGATTAATTGCCCCCAAAACCCTCAATTTTAGAAATTCCCAATTTTAATTTTTTCCTCAAAACCCTAATTTGAAGATTCGATTGAGAAATTATGTCAATTAAAATGGGTAATGAGACATACATGACCTTGACTTGAGTTCGCCTAACAATTTACCTTCATCTCTTGCTTGAAATTGAAAGCAATCAAGATATTAGGGTTTTAATTTTCTTAAACAAAGGCAAAAGGGGGCAAACGAATTTTATCAGTTAAATATAGAGGAGAGAGGAATAATTTTTGGAGGGAAAGTGTAATTCGTGGGCCCATTGTCGGAGATTCTCGCTGGAATAATTGTTAAGGTAGTGCTGCTCAAACTTTTTTTTTATTTTTGTGGTAGTTGTTTCAAAAAAAAAATTAATGGTAGTTGTTTTCAAAACCCGTCATTTAAATGGTAGCTCTTCGAAAAATTACCAAAAAGAATAAAAAAATTTTTTCTAAGAAAATCTTGTATTTTTTAAAATACAAGATTTTAATGTGGGCTCTATAATTGATGGTGATTAGATAAAGTTGTTGATTTATTTACGAAAAATGTGATGTGACCGAGAGAAATTGGGGCAAACTCAAAAAATCTAATCTAATTAATAAATTTAAATAATCAAATGCTGTTGTGAAATAAGGGGAAAGATCAAATTGAAAGAGAATAAATCTGTGTATATTATTCCATATGATAAGGTGTATATATACATACAATATATTAGGGTTTGATTGGATAAGAATATAAACCCTAGGTCTAGATTGTTCCGGAATGATACAAAGGAGGATAATAGATATCCACAAATATTTCATAACACTCCCCCTTGGATGTCCATTATCGAAGATTGTGCCTCATTAAACCCTTACTATGAAAAACCCTGTGGGATAAAAACATAGTGAAGGAAAAAGAGTACATCAGTCTTCGTAATACGCTCGAGATGTTGCCTCATTAAAAACCTTACCAGGAAAACCCAATTTGGGACAAAACCATGGTCAAGGGAAAAAGAGTGCAGCGCGTATTTTCTCCCCCTGATGAATACATAACTTGAGATCTTCTAGTGCCGCAACGATGAATCCAATATGTTTGGATATCTTCTCAAATGTAGTATGTAAAATATCATTAGTTGATCTTCTATTCTCTAAAGCTGAAGTTGCATCTTCAATTCTTCAAGTCTTCACGTGAACATGTGAAGTGTCTTCATTTCACTATACATGTGTTTATCTCTAATATTATTTTTCGAATCTCGATCTGTTTTGTAGTTGATTTAAAAAAAAAATTAAACTAATACAATTATGACTTCTTCTGGAAGTCGTTAATGATAGAAATTGATGATCATTATTTGATAGATCAAACTTCATTAATAATAATATGATGACAAACTTGATATCATTAATGTATTCTTCAATTTCATATGAATTATAATATAACACATGTAATTATATACATCTATCATGGTTCTTCTAGACCATAATAAAATAGTTTCACGCACAAGCATTCCGTTGATATTATGTAGAATATTCATAATTGACATGATAGTTCTCTTGCAAATAGTAATTCTCACTAACTGTCATATGCTCAATCTTCAGGTTGAGATGTCAGTAGTCACATTGACTTATTAAGAGTTTGATAATAATTGAATAGCAACATTCAAGATAATAACAAGATAAGCCTAGAATAAGATGAGAGAGAAACCTAGTGTGAGAGAGTCCCCAAAACCTTCCAAACAAAAAACACCTTCCAAACAAAAACCACCAACTGTTCCATTAGGATCAAAGGCCACCACAGCCCCACTACTGCCGACTCCAACAACACCCCTTCCCTCTCACACTCAGCAAATCTCTCCTACTGAAAACTCTCCCTCCCCATTACTCAACCCTCCCTTAGTTGCTTCTTACAAAACCACTTTTACATCTGTTGTCTTCAACCATGAAACCGCTGCCAAAACTCCACAAAATACCCCACCTTCTTACCGAAACATCCTTTCCTCCAGCTCTAAAAACCTTTCCTTGTGCCTCACAGCCTCCACTACCCCTCCTGCCTCTTTCAATGATGAAAAAGAGATTTTCATACTAATTGATGAATCCGAATATGCAATGCTCTGTTCGGATTGGGATTGTGCCGTTATCTCCAAACCATACGGAAAATCATTTTCTACTGATTTCTACATAGAATCTCTACAAAAAACCTGGAAACCAAAGGCAAACATCTCCTCCTTCCCTTTAGGAAAAGGATTTTTTGTCACAAAATTCTCCTCGCAAGAAGACTTTGACAGAGTACTCAACTTTGGACCGTGGTTCATTAACGGATCATTCGTCTCCACGTCAAGGTGGACCCCTGGATTCAAACCATCACAAGCCACCGCAAAGAAAGCAGTCGTGTGGGTGGAGCTACCGGAGCTACCTACTGAATTTCATTCAAGTGGGTTTCTGACCAAAATTGGCAATTCCTTGGGGAAATTCATAAAATTGGATGCATCAAAAGGCCGTAATAAATTGAGAGTAGCTAGAATCCTAGTGCTCATAGATGAATCCCAAGTGAGAAAGGATTGCATTTGGCTTGGAAAAATCAAGCAACAATTAATCTACAGAGATACCATCACCTCAACTCACCAACAAACCTCTGCACCTTCCTCAGAAAAGAGTTCCACGCCTTCAACCTCTGAACCAACCTCAACCCAGAACCTTCCGTTCCAGCAGCTGCTGCTAAGGAATGGGTGGTTATTTCCAAACCCAAGAAAAAATTCCCAACGACTACAGGTCTTTATCCAAAAAATAACGAACTTTCCCTCCATTCCCGCCAAAATAAAAATAGCTTTCAAGCTCTTTCTATTACGGATGACGTGGCGAGGGACCACACCCTTGAACTTCAAATCTTTTCTGAGACAGATTTTCAGCGGAAAAAATCCTTCCGAAATCCTTCTTTTTCCCTTTCCAAGGTTTCTTCTGAAGTCTGCCGCCTTTTTGGGTCTAGTCTCATCAAATGTCCACTCGCCTTACCTCCTATTCCTTTTCTTTTAACCGGCGATTGGACTTTCAACGGTTCAAATCCCTCTTTAAGTCTGGGTTCTCCCTGCTCTTCTCTTCTCACCCCTCTTCTTTCCTTCTTTCCCTCTCCAAACTCCGGAAAAAATGGAAAAAGGAAACCAAAACAACAAGAAAGCTTCCTCCTCTCGCTCGGTGATCAGCCGACGCATCTCAATCATGAGAAACCCCAATCCAGTCACCGTGGTTCCCATTGCGTCGAGGAACATCATAACCTCAACCAAACCTCAATTCAATGTGCCGGAGATGATGTTCAACCTCCAATCCTTCTATATGAGGGATATTCTAGGAAATTGGCACTCCCTCACACCGGGAGTGATCCGCGACATTCTCCTAGAGCCGGAGAAAGTGCCTCCGATGTTCCAGAATCTGGCCGTAGGGGACCAGGAAGACCCAGGAAGACTCATCCCAGCTCACTTCCCATCTCTAGCGGACGTTACTCTGATGAACGAACCGCTGGGTATCCTCCTAAAATGGTGGATAGCGCAGTTGCAGCAGAATTACACACTAATGGCGATGCCGTGGGAGCTGCAATTTGTGTCGGACCCTCCACCCGTGCTTCCGCGCGAAAGAAAGGCGTTATCAATTACAAGAGAATGGCTACTGGCGCAGCACCTTTCGGGAACAAACAATGTCAAGTGGATTCGGCTAGTGAGAGAGGCGATTCAAATTCAATTGCACTGTGCGTGGGGAATAAAAAAGATTTCCACTCAAGGGATGGCTGGAATCAAATTCAAAACGAACACATTACAGAAGTACAACACCTTTCTGAACCGCTATGTCACTCTCGACACAAATGCGGCTTACGAGACAGAGGGAAATGTCAATGCTACCCGCCATGAACCCGGGAATGCCAGTGCTGTTGTGGAACGCTAGGGGGATCGCCAGGAAGGGGTTTTAGCGTAACATACGCCAACTCCTAAAGGATCACAACCCAGAGATAGTCATATTGACTAAAACAAAAGTTCATAAATCGGGAGTGGAGGATATTATTGAGAATCTCCCCTTCAACTCCTACGAAGTGGTAGATCTGGTGGGCCTTTCTGGTGGAATTCTGATCTTATGGAATAGTGGGGTAAACAACATCATCACCGTCTCCAAACAACCGCGTGTTATTCATGTTGTAATCCAGGTGAATAACAAAAATACTTTCTTTCTTTCGGCCATCTATGCTAGTACTTGCTTTAAATCTAAGCTAGATATGTGGGATGATTTGATTGCTTTAACTCAAAACATTACTTATCCTTGGCTACTGTGCGGGGACTTTAACGAGATATGTGAAGCCCATAAGAAATGGGGAGGGAATCCCCAACCCATTGCTCAAATGCGGGCTTACAAAGACACGATGAACCAGTGTAACCTTATTGACCTTGGATATACGGGTCATAAGTTCACGTGGTTTAACAAAAGGAAAGCCCAACCCATTTTCGAAAGGCTCGATAGATTTTGGGCTAGCCCGGATTGGATACAAGATTATCCAGACGCGTTAGTGCAAAATCTGCTGCGTATGAGTTCGGATCACAACCCGATACTCCTAACTCTCGAAAAATGGGTCTTTTCCACGGGTCACAAGTTATTCCGGTTCGAACCAATGTGGTTCTC